AAGGTTTTATTGTCTTCAGTATTTTTTTTTTGTTCCTCCTTTACCAAGCTATTGACTCTTTCTTTTTTTCATGATTTTCTTGCATCACTCTCATTTCTCTACCCAGTTTTTCCTCTACCTCTCTTATTTAATTTTTACAATCCTTTTTGAGCCCCTTCATAACCTGAGATAAATTCATATTTTTCTTTGAGTCTTTGGATGCAGGAATTTTGACTTTGTTGTCTTCTTCTCAGTATGTGTTTTGATTTTCCTTGTCACCATAGTAACCTTCTATGGTCAGAATTTTTTTTTTTCTGTTTCCTCATTTTCCAGCCTATTTCTTAACTTTTAACTCTATGCTAAAGTGGGCCTCTGCTCCCCAAGTGGAGGGGGCACTGTACTAAGCTTCAGGTGTTTTGTGCAGCTGTTTTCCAAGATAATTCTGGGGACCTATAAGTTTTTGGCTCTTCCAAGGTGCTGTGATCTAGGGAGAGGTGTGTTTACTCCTCTCCTGTACTGTGCACTGGTTTGTGAGCGACCAAAAGCAATGTTTCAACCCTAGAGCTGTGACCAGGGTCCCTAAGACCCAGGAATGTGACCCAGATCCAAGTATAGGTAATACAACAGAATCTTGCCCCTGGTGCCAGCACAGGGACCACTGTAAATCTTCTGACCTGTCGTCTGATTCCCTTAACATCTGTGAGCTGAGTGGTCTGTAAGCTGTCAGTGCTGCCACTGATTCAGTCACCCCAAGGTGTTCCTGGTTCTGTACTGGCTGGTACAATTGGACTCCTCTCTCATCCTGGTGCAACAGACCTTCTAAGTTGTCTTGGGCTGAAAGGTTGTTTCACTCTGCCTTTTTGTGGGTTCTGCTGCTCTAGAATTTCTTTAGGGTCATTATTTAAAAGTATTTGGAGGGGTTTGGGAGATGCTCACTTGAGTCCCTGCTTTTAGCCCACCATCTTGGCTCTGCCTCTAGTGACTTTTTTTTCAGTGTTGTCCCTGTCGATGAAAATCAAATGTACTCTGCATTTGAGGCACAAGTATATTAGAAACATTTGAAAATAATTAATTTAGCTTTATTCTAATTCCATACATTTCTAGTTTAGGGAGGGAAATGCCCCTGTGCACCATCATTATCATCACCAATAATAATAATAGTTAACATTTATCTAGTGCTATCTAGGTTTGTAATCGCTTTATATATATCCTCTCATTTGATCCTCATAACAACTCTGGGAGGCAGGTGCTACTATTATCCCCCCTATACCGATGAGGAAACTGGGGCAAATCAGTTAATTGACTTCCCCAGGGCCGCACAACTAGCAAATGTCTGAAGGTAAATTTGAACTCTACTCTTCCTGACTCTAGGCTCAACGCTCTTTTTGTTAGAATTTCATTTATAAAGGGGATTCTTGTTCTGATTTGGGTTTGACTGAGGTCTCTTCCAAATCTGAGATTCTGTAATTCTACAATATTTTCATGTCTTATTATATAAATCATATTGGCAAACCTCAAAGTCCTGTAACAATGCTAGTGCTCTTTTCGTCTCTGTCTCTGTCTGTCTGTCTGTCTGTCTGTCTGTGTGTCTATCTCTGTGGCTCTGCATTTGCCTCTCTTTCTTAGAGGCAGCTGGTAGTACAGTGGTTAGAGTCCTAGGCCTAGAGTCAGACAGGGAGATATGAGTTGAAATCTGGCCTCAGATACTTACTACCTGTGTGACTCTGGCTAAGTCACTTAACCTCTGTTGCCTCAGTTTCCCTAATTGTAAAATAGGGATAATAATAGCACCTACCTCCCAGGGTTGTTATGAGAATCAAATGAAATAATGTTTGTCAAATGTACTTAGCAGAGTGCTTGGAACATAATAGGCACTAGATAAATGCTTATTCTCTTTCTCTCTCTCTCTGTCTGTCTGTCTCTCTCTCCTCCCCTCCCTATGCCTCCTTTCATCTTGCCTCTCTTTTCTGTCTCTCTCTTTTCCCCTCTGCCCTTTCTTTCCTCTCTTCTCTTCTCTTCTCTTCTCTTCTCTTCTCTTCTCTTCTCTTCTCTTCTCTTCTCTTCTCTTCTCTTCTCTTCTCTTCTCTTCTCTTCTCTTCTCTTCT